AACTTACAATGGGCACATCCATGTAAACAGAATAAGTCAAACTTGCAATGGGCACATCCATGTACACAGAATAAGTCAAACTTACTATGGGCACATCCATGTACACAGAATAAGTCAAACTTACAATGGGCACATCCATGTAAACAGAATAAGTCAAACTTGCAATGGGCACATCCATGTACACAGAATAAGTCAAACTTATAATGGGCACATCCATGTACACAGAATAAGTCAAAGTTACAATGAGCACATCCATGTACACAGAATTAGTAAAACTTACAATGGGCACATCCATGTGCACAGAATAAGTCAAACTTACAATGGGCACATCCATGTACACAGAATAAGTCAATCTTACAATGAGCACAGCCATGTACACAGAATAAGTCAAACCTACAATGGGCACATCCATGTACACAGAATAAGTCAATCTTATAATGGGCACATCCATGTACTCAGAATAAGTCAAACTTATAATGGGCACATCCATGTACACAGAATAAGTCAAACTTAGAATGGGCACATCCATGTACACAGAATAAGTCAAAGTTACAATGAGCACATCCATGTACACAGAATAAGTCAATCTTACAATGAGCACAGCCATGTACACAGAATAAGTCAAACCTACAATGGGCACATCCATGTACACAGAATAAGCCAAACTTACAATGGGCACATCCATGTACACAGAATAAGTCAAACTAATAATGGCCACATCCATGTACACAAAATAAGTTAAACTTACAATGGGCACATCCATGTACACAGAATAGGTCAAACTTACAATGAGCACATCCATGTACACAGAATAAGTCAAACTTACAATGAGCAAATCCATGTACACAGAATAAGTCAAACTAATAATGGCCACATCCATGTACACAAAATAAGTTAAACTTACAATGGGCACATCCATGTACACAGAATAAGTCAAACTAATTATGGCCACATCCATGTACACAAAATAAGTCAAACTTACAATGGCCACATCCATGCCTCATGCGACTTCTACACCTTTATTCAGACAAAGCTGAGTACATGCATACAGACGCTTCGTTGTGGAGGCGTATGAAGAATTACTGCCATTATTGATTTAAGTGATGTTAAAAGGTTATGTTTCAGGTATATTGCTATCTTCTTGACATTTATATTTTTTTGAGAAAACTAATAGCCATGTCACATAATTGTGGCATGATAATGAAATTTTTGTGTNGGGGGGGGGGGGGGGGGGGGGGGGGGGGGGCAATTTCGAATTTAAAAAACAATAAAGGATCATGTTTTGAATAACGACCACATTCTATATAAAGTCTCCTGGGAGCTAATGAGACATGTTTGAGTGTGAGCAGGCTGGCACTGACAGATGGTACAGACAGGAAAGGGTGAGCTGGTCACATAGACAAAGGTCTACAGGTTATAGGTATAACAGACAGCAGAGTGTTCGGGTAACACCCGCAATGCATCAGTACATGACAGAAGCGATATGTACATAAAACATGTAATTGGCTTCTCACCGGGTCAAGTTTCTGTATTTGTTACCAAGTCTTCTGTATAATGTACAATATTCTTTTTTTGGCTCATCTTTTCNCTCCCCCCTCTAACCCTAATACTCAAAAAGTAGATATCAAATTATCTCTTTAAGTTCATTTCATTTCAACCAATTTGATAGCCTAATTAATGGGATTGGACAACAGGCTTTGACCAATATTTCCTCAGTGAAACATAGCTCAAGAATAATTCATAAATTCAAAGTATTACTCATGAAAATATTTCATGACGTTTTAGTTCAGGTATTAATGTATTAATTCATGTTTGGTAAGGTTTTAACAGAAATGTGTCATCATGTTCAGTCATAAAAATTGATTGGACTTGCTTAGAAGAGATTGGCCTAAAGAGAATGAATTCTATTAAATAAGCAAATATGTAAGCAAACAAGAATAATTGAAAATTCAAAGAGTGAAGCATTTTCTGAAAAAAATGAGAAATGGAAAGTGCAAAATTATCTGAAGTATCCAAGTATTGTCAAGTAAATTGTTTTCAGAAAACAGTTTCATATTCAAACATTTTAAGAGATATCAATAAAATTGAGAGTTCTCCTGGGAAACAATCTAATGCTTCAAAAGGAACTAGTCCTATTTCCCAACTATAGAACTGTGATATTGAAGACAATATAACACCGCTGGATGATTGATTAAACATATATCTATTTTATGGAATGATTTTAAAGTACACTCATATTAAAATACATATGCGATATCACATTTCTGGCAGACATGCAATGGGGGAAAAAATATGAAAAAAGGGAAGTAAGATGTTGAGCATAAAACAGCAGTATAATCACTTTGAAAGTTTGGAGAATCAATGTGGAGGTTTTAAAATACAATAAATGTATCGAGTAACAGGGTCGCTTGTACCCTGAGATAACAATTGGCTATAAAACACAATCTGCTTCCGATACACCTAAAGCAATTGGATCCCTCGGTTCACGAACAACAGAATCTCGTCAATGTTGTACATGTATGTACAGTGTATTTGAACAGAGTGAAGATATGAAAAAAATAAGAAAATCACAAAAACTGGGAAAGCCAAGTTGTTGGCAGATGGAGAAAACACTTGGGATATTTTGAACAAACTAATTTGTATTTTGTTGATAAAAAGGTTTTCTCCTGAATGAACTTGGAATGTAAATTGATGTATTTACGATTTGTCTTACCCTGTAATCAATATTTCAAATATTTTGTGAAGTTTTATTTAAGCAAAAGAATCTGGAGAACAAACGCCACTGCCTGAATTATACTTTAAATAAGTTAAAAGGAAAAATCTTGAATTGTTACTGCTCTCCTAAAAACTATTTTCATCTTCTGTTTAGTGTAAATGTGAGAATAGCTACAGGAAATGCAGCATGATACACAGTGCTCAGATAAACGATAAGTCTTCTGATTTATGTACGAAGAAATGTACCTCATTTCTGAAATTTTGGTTTCCCGTAACACTACTAAAAGCTATTGACGCTAAAGAATTACTGAAAAGAAAACCATTACTTGCCAGACTTTTAAGAAAAATAATAAAGATGAAATAAACAAAAGGAACCAACAACAACATTGTTCTTAGATTAAAAATTTGGGGAGGCTAGATGAGGATTCGACATTTAGCGGGGCTAGACCAGGATTCAACATTTAGCAGGGCGTAAACTAGGATTCAAACCCTGGTCTTCAGATTGTTGTACTAGCGCTCTAACCAACTGAGCTGTCTGGCCAATGAAAGTGTCCTGGTTCAACTGTACTACAGTTTTGTCCTAAACGATATAAGGGAGGTAACTGTATACGAAAAACCACAGTGCAGTGAGACAGGGGTCCTTAAATGATTTAATTGGAACTACAATTGTATTAGTCATTACACTGAAATGAAGCAGAACCTTTTTCTCCTTGAAATGTGTGGTTAGATCAGGTTTTTCTGAACTTTCTTCACCGAAGCACAAGGGTGTGTTGTTGGGCACCTGAGCATCAATTTCAGGGTCATATCATAATTCAAAGGAATTATGGTAATATAAGAATTATCTTTCAAAAGTGCCACTCACAACAGTTTCATGTTTACAGCTAAACACAAAGCTGTCTTGGATAGTTTAACAAAACCTGCAAATATCAGGTCTGGAACAAGATTCTAGAATCTTTTTATTTTTCCTTTGATGGAAATGATACATTGAAATTAATTGTGGTCTGAAGCCATGTAGGTTGGACATCTGCGGGCCGCAATCAATATAGAGGATAGAAAAAAGTGTGTGGTGATAGATGTAAACTATTATGGAGAGAACAGTACACACACATCTTTGTGTAAAAGTGCACGGCTGGCATGATCAATATCGCGGTCCGAGGCCAGCCTTTTGGCAGCCATTGTACTCACCAACACATGGGCAGCGCCTTATTCCCCACATTGTATTGATTAGAAATGTCTTTATAAATGAATTTTCAAAATGAAAAAGAGATATGTAAGGCTATATGCTGCAAGATCGTAAAAATTTGATACAAAGTGCAGTTACTTCTATAAAAAGGTGACTGTTAAGTTCATTCACACTTTTTTTATAATTTGAAACCCTTGATCTGATTTTAAAAATAGTGAAGATTTAAAGAGATCTCAAAATAAATTGTTTTTAAAAATTATGTTGAGGATATTAAGTTATTTATCAGGCTACAATGTCAGGAGAAAGTGCATTCTGTATCCCTCGTATCAGCCATTCCTCAATCTAGCGACAGATTTATTGTTTGGCGGTGTTTTTACGAAATAAAAAACGAAAACATGAAGAAGATTTATGGCTACCATTTACTGTCAACCTGGGTGTTCAGGAAGTGATAGATAACACAAATTAGGTTTGAAAAACAACATAAAATTGCACATGCAACACATTCAGGAATAGAAATAAGTGGGTGTAGTAAAAAGTGGGAAAAAAGTACAAAGAGATACGTTTTTTGCAGCTGTCTTTATGTAAAATTGATTTTGTTTTATTTCAACAGTTAATTGAATCCATATCTTTTTTTAGTTTGCGAGTCATAATTTTCTGTTGTGAAATATATGTTTATCATCATTTGATACATGTTGTATGCCCAATTAGAATGACTTACAATGACTGTTTGGAAATACATCAGATGTACTGACTGTTGTCGAAGCTATTCTACAATTTTGTATATTTATATTATTTAGTTAAGGCAGAATAGTTTTATTCACATGCCTGCTACAAAATATATATAACCCCAAAGATCCAGACTCTCTAACAGGTTACAGTCTTAACACTTACATCATATCTATGTAACATTTACTTATGTTTGTTCGTTCAGTTTTATATTAGGAATTAATAGGCCCAACGAGATCCATTCAGACACGTAATTAATTTGCTATTGACAACCATTCTTCCTGAATGTACTGTACATGAGCTTTTGGCTTTAGTTGATATTAATACTCATAACACTTCAATCATATTAATTGATGTTTCCATTTGTCCGTTTCAGATTCTGGGTTATTGGATAAGGTGAAGAAACCTGACGTATCATAACAGTTCAAAGTGCCATGTGGAGGAAAAATCAAGGAGAGTGTGTATACAAGTCCTGCTGTAATTATAGAGTGACCTCCCTTTAAGAAGCTCTTTTCTTCAGAAGATCACAAATGCAGTGGAATAGTTGCAGAATGATCCCCATTGAGTTGGCAGAGCTGTGACATTGATAATGTAGATGTATATTTTGCGTTGTTAACATATCATGAAGAATGTATTATTGTTGAGAATGATGTTAAGGATTTATTTTCTCAAGAATCATCATGACATAAAGGGTATATATGCAAGACCACACAAGACCGTGGAGCGCACGAGTGAATATATACGTCCACGCCATAAATGAGCGCTTTCTAATTCGTTAGAAAAACACAAGTGTGTGGTCTTGCTTTTATCACATACCTTTCGTATTTGGTAGAGATCGATACAAAGATTTTATAAACTTTGATATTTTTTGCGAATACCGGGAACTTATCAGTTCGCCTTGACAAGGGGTCGATTCCCATAAAAAGTAGTTCCGGCTAGTAGGTAAATATAACATTATGTATTGCACATGTGCAATACAGAACGTTGTATTTCATGGTCTGAAAATTGCTTGTATTACTATAACAAGATTTGTATGTGATAAAAGTATTTATTTGACTATCATGATAAGAATTCTTAAATAAATTCACAAAAAAACATTTCCTAGAAATATTATGATATTAACAGTGTCTATTGTTACTTTATAGTCTAACATTGAGGAAAATGCTTTTATTTTGAAGCAAATCAAACGCGACAGTAATTCAATCATCTCTCCAAGGTGTTGTCACAAACTACGGTTCAATATTATGGTTCCAGGCGGAACGATAATACTGCGATTCAAACATTTAATGATTTGTTGAAGAATGCAGTTTATTTCTATGTTATGTGAGTTATTGATGAGTTCAGCAAGTAGAAGGAATAAAAGGGTTGACTGTCAAGGGAGAAACTAGCCATAACATCATCAATTTTCTCAAATGTGTATAGCGACTCAGAATTTTGAATGCAGGATTTGTTTTCTTCATATTGATATAAGATATTTACTATTGTGTTAACAAACAGAAGTGTTTCCTTTCCTTTTTGATAGCTGTTGTGATCAATTTTTATGCTAATTTATTACGGAGTAAAAATTCTACTTAAATCAGTATTTCTTATCATGTGATAAACTTTGTCAATACTTTTGTGATATATGAGGGTTCAAGGTCAATTATAACCAGGGTTAAATTTTTCAATGTCATGGATAATAAGGGTCACATTTCAAGAAAATTGATTAACAACAGGAGGATGTAAATGTGTCGTATATCTCATTAGCAAAAGACGATTGAAGTTTTGTACTTTGCTGATCAGTGATATAATTCATACAGGGTTTATTTGAGTGAGAATTTCATTTCTACAAGAAAACACTTTCACACCTCATTTGCTAATATGAAATATAAGATGATTGTTTTAACTGTATTTGGCAATCAATTTTAATGTTTTTAGCTGATAAGATTTTTTCCATGCATTGTTTTCAAATACTGTGCATATGACTTTAAACTCGTAAATCAAAATTAAAGATCCCTGTCATACTGCACTGCCTTTTTTTCCCTATATACAGAGACCTCCCCTTAACATCCTTTTCGATATAACTGTAGCACATTTGGGCTCGTACACTTCTGATGTCCCGGTAGCACAATTGGTTTCAGTAATCGTGTAACAATCAGAAATCCAGGGTTCGAATCCATCTGGCCCCCGCAGAATTTTTTCCACTCCGAACATGTTTTTGATTATATCAAGATTTATTTCATCTCCATTATGTTTTCGTAAAAGTTCTGTAAGGTATACTTTTCTTTTCAAGAATGATTTATAAAAACTTTAGTCATGCCAGAAAAATAATTTTTGAATGCATGGTTTTGTTTTTTTGGCAGTGGTACGGGGATCCTTAACATTTTATACTACCAGGAAGTAATCAGATGAGGCGGTTGCTTTGTTTTGTTACAGGTCTTAGGAGATGTAGTGAGTGATGTCTAGGTGTTGACACGCACATAATCATGATAAACAGGATTCTCTTTTCTGTAACTCAGTCTTTATAATTTGTTTCAAAGATAGATGTTTTCCCCCCCCCCCCCCGCTTCTTTTCTTTTAAACCTTTATGTCAGATGCCAGAAAACATTTCTTTCACATGCCTGCATCCATTCTACCAGAGATGGCATTTTGGTATATACTAGCTTTAGTATTTTCTGTGACCTTATATTACCCCAAGGTCATACATATTGGGAAATAATTGCAGTGTTATAATTGTAGTTTTCACAGCATGTGATCTTACATAACAACCCAGTCATAAAGCCATCTTTATGTTTCTGATCAATATTTGATTGTTTTAGACGTCTTCAATGACAAGTTATCTTATACAAGTTGATGTTTAACGCCCTGTTTACTATTACGCTCAATTTTGTATCAACATTCCGAGTGTTCTTTTGTTAATTTGTATTTCTGCCAGATTTGTTTTTCTGCTGGCTGTTTGATGTTTATACAGTGTAACTAAATAATTTTTTGGGACATTTTGTTTTTCGAGGGGTCCTCTACATGGATATTGTGATGCAAGTCTTTTTTATTCTTATATTGATGGGACCAGAACCTCAAATGGGTGTGATATAGTCATTTTAACTCGTTCACCCCTGTAGACAAATTTGAACTCTTCCAATTTAAAGGTTGGAATAGTTCATTGTGAAATTTGAGGGGTGAATTAGTACAGGTATCACACAGCCTTAAATATGTCTTACACTACTTAGTATTTAGCAGAATATCTTCAAAAAGATTCCTTAAAGGGATATAGAACCTTAAAAAGGATTGAGTATGTGTATTAACCCTTTCATCACTGTAGACCATAATGGACTCATCCATAGCAATACATGGAAGAGTCTACTAAAGTTACATGGGGGTGAAAGGGTTAACTACATGATCCCTGAAATTTCATAATGCCAGCATCTTTTGTTGGGATCTATACTGCTGACAAAGCATGCATGGTTATATAAGAAGCAGGTCAATATACTGTGTATCTTTCGCCCTTTGGTTAGGTCCCATGTTTCATGCTCAAATGACTGTAAGATAAATACGTTGTCTGATGTAACATGACAGGGTATAAATTATAAGCACAATCCAGAGGTGATATTTAATAAATTTGATATCCCACAGAAGTAGCCTGATCTCCAATCAGTTTTGATGGATTACACTGCCGACAATGTTCACATTACACAGCTTGCTAAGATTTCTAAGATTTATGAGCTTTGCATGGTGAAAATGTTAACTTTAATATGAGCAGTTTAAATTATGGTTTTCCTTGTTTCTTGTCCTTCAGGAATCGTTTGGAATCTAAACACTTATGATATTTGATTATGAAATAAAAGATAAGAAATTGGAGATCGGGATATATTGAATACTGCAACATACTAAGTTTAGCAGTATTCTAATTTTAGTGCTGTTCACACTTTAACTCATTCAACCCTGAAATTTCATGCTTAACTATTTCATCCTTTGAGTAGCAAGAATTCAAATGTGTCTTTAGGGGTGAATGAGTTTAATATTGCGATAAATTATGATTGCGCTAATTGAAGTTTCTGTATGTAGTTTCCTATTGTATGGTTTGTGAATGCACCAGTTCACCAATGCGCTGATCTGTAAGTCTGTTAATATTTGATAACGCACGGAAATTTGAATTTTCGTAAAATAAGTACTTTTACAGTAGTTTAGACCTAGAGTAGATTTGTTTTTGAAGAATTGTATCGAAATCTTAGCTCAACAACCACTGCTTATAATACGAAGGGACCATGTAACAGTCGGCACTGAAATGTAGTTTTTATTGAAGTATTACTAACAATAAGAAATCGTAAAGACCTCAGCTTCAAAGTTGGATTCTTTAAATATGAGGGGGAAATATTCTGTACTTAAATATATACACAAAACACTAAAACTACATTGATACTTTAATATACAAAAAAATATACTGTATTGGGGTGTTGGGGCCAATACTATTTTGCTAAGAATTCTATCATTTTTATATAATTTTTGTCTCAATTCCATGACAATGTGTGTATCATGTATTTAATATATCCTGTAAGTGCTGTGACAGTGTGTTACTGTGTGTGAGAGACGTGTGTGGTGAGGAACAGTCCCTGTTATATATACACTGACACTGCTGCTCAGACAAAATGTCCAGTCAGATGAAATATCAAGATTGGAAAAATATCATTCATCTTTGATGTTGTCCATGTTTTTATAACATTGAAAACAAGGATATTTAACCCTTTCACCACTGTAGACCTTAATGGACTCATCCAGATGAATATATGGTTGAGTCTATTCAAGTTACCTAGGGGTGAAAGGGTTAAGCATGACTTTAACCAATACATGTATAATACAATTGTAAGAAATTAAATGTGTAGCATAATAATGTGAAACAAATTATTCACAAGAAAGAGATTGTGTCACATTGCCATGGTTTGCTCTTTATTTACTGATGGAAAGTATACGTCTTTAATAATTTGTTGATCAGAGAGGGCCAGAATAAAGGGTGACAAAGGGGGCACTTATATTGTTTTCAAAAAATGTCTGAAAAAGGGAGGGGTGCTAATAACAGTATATATACTGTAGTTTATTACCAATGATGTAACATGATCATATAAAATTGTGCTATATATAGTATATACGTATATATTGCTAAAGATGTTGCATGATCATATAGAATCGTGCTATATATAGTATGCTAAAGATGTCACATGATCATATAGAATCATGCTATATATAGCATATAACTAAAGATGTTACATGATCATTTAGAATCGTGCTATATATAGTATATAAGTATATATTGCTAAAGATGTCACATGATCATATAGACTTGTGCTATATATAGGATATAAGTATATATTGCTAAGGATGTCACATGATCATATAAAATTGTGCTATATATAGTATATTATGAATGATGTCACATGATCATATAAAATTGTGCTATATATACCTAAGGATACAACATATATTGCATATATTGCTAAGGATGTCACATGATCATTGATGTATGTATATAATACATTATATGTATATAATACATAGGGGGATTGTTACACCATTAGACTAATTGTACCTAGTGTTTACTTATAACTAAGGATTTGTCACAAGATGTAATGTATAAGATGATTTTAACAAACACTACATGTGTAAATAAAAACATAGTAAACGTGACTCATTGTAAAATAACATCCTTCATTGGACAGAAATATTGTGGGAAATATTTCATCTGAGTGTTTATAATATATGTGAGTCATTTTATACTTACATTTGCTCGTAGAACAGAGATAGGGTGATTACATCTTTTGATCAGTTGCATATTGGAAATTAGGTTACTGTAGTCCTAGCTTACAGGTGGTGGTCGAAAGGGGTATATATATGTATCATCAGCCACATAATGTGTTGCTTTGTTTAGTAAAACAGAACAATCTGGTATTTTGCCCAAGATGTTTAGATTTTAAAATAAAGTTTTGTGGTGCTATATTTATCATTTTTTGTATAATAGGCT